TGTCAAAACTATATTAAAAACATAGAAAAGGGTATGACGAAATTATTTTGAGGAGGTTTCGGCAGGCATCTATAATTTGAAATAGTAAATTCATTATATCAAAAGGCAATTATATATCTTATTATTTATCAATCTTAAAAATATAAAATACTATTCTTAATATGATAAATCTAACAAACTAAATTTTATTTTTTAGATAATAAATTATTTTAAATTTAAAACTGAATTATTAAATGCATTTTAATATAATAAATTTAATAAAATTTATTTATTTTATATAATCATTAGATATCAAAATATTATAATTTTTATATAAACAATTTATATTTATTAAAGAAATAAGTTTTTAATATATTTCAATACAAATTAACAAATTATTAATTAAATTATATTTTGATAGATATAATTATTTAATTAATAAATGTCAAATTGAGTAATTAATTTTAATATTATTAAAATTAATTAATATTAAAATATAGTTTTAAAATTAAATTAAACTTAAATTTAAAAAAAAATTTTTATATTTTAAATTATATGAATTATCCATAAGTTTGCTTATCTAATTCTATTTTAATTTGATAAAACTTATAAATTTTAGTTTGTAAATTTATTTTAAAATTTTAATATAGATTTATTATTTTTATAAGCTTAATGTAATTTTATTCTTTTTTAGAATTTTATAGATTTTTTATAAGAATTTAATATAATTTTACTAAATTTATTTTTTACTATTTAGATAATTTGATAAAATTTTTAGATTTTATTTAAAATCTTATCATATACTATTAAATCAAATTTTAAAATATAATAATAAATATGATTTATAATATATATACTATTAGTAATAATTCATATATATTGCAAAATAATTAGCTAATTTTGATTACCAATAATTTTTATGGAAAGAATGATTACTATTATTATTAATTTTACTAGTATTATAGCTATCATAATTTATTTAATATATTTATCTTATCATTTATCTTCATTATATTTACTATTATTATTATTATAGTTATATTTATTATATTTATTATCATTATTATATTTAATATTTCTTTATTATACTTGTATTTTATATAAATATCATATATCATCACCTTGATAAAAGATAAGTTTCATTCTTATTATTCTAAATAAAATATAACTTTAACAATATAAAATCTTATGTTTATACTATTCTCAATTTTTTAAAAGATTAGTTGAATTTTATAGATCTTTTGTATTTTTAGTATTTATAGAATTTTAATTATTTTATAATATATTTTAATTAATTAATTTGATTTATTAATATATTTTAGATGATAAAATAATAACTTTTAAAAAAAATATTTAAATACTATTTTTTTTTATATGTAATTTATATATGATAATATAATAGTTATTTTTTATATTATTTTATATTTAATTTATTATATTAAAATATAGAATTACAGTAATAAAAATTTTTATTTTTTACTTAATTTTAAAATCTTCTTAATTATTAAATATAAAACTTTTAAATCTTATTCAGTTTCTTTTATATTAATATTATATAATCTTTTTTATTAAGATCTTTTAACTGGTAATTTTTTATTTCTCTGATAATTTATTTCCTAATACGGATGAGATACAATCGTACTAGTAAGATTTTTAATAACGATAGGTAAATTATAAACCGTATTTTTGGTAACTTATGTAGATCTTAATTTAGTCTAAATATGTCTCCGGATATTTGCATGACATGGTGATAGTTATAATAACACGAACCGAGTTTTTCAAATGGTTTTCAATTATTCAAACATTAAATTTCTTTTCAAGTAATGGTTAACACTACGCAATCAAAACTTAGTTCTAAAGAAACCGCAAAGTTGTGTGCAGAATATTTTTTGTGTGGATTTAAAGATGCTTTCGCTTGGCCTTCAAGTTTGATCACTATATACGGGTATATCCTTTTCAAGTCTAAAGCGACGGTGTTCATATTCCCCCCCCCCCCCCCCTTTTTTTTTCTTTTTAATAATTTTATTTTTCTTATTTTGATAAAAGGTCAAGAAAAATCCGACATCGCACACTAAAATGTCTTGTCTTAAACGGATTGATTTTTTTAGGCAGCATATTTTTTTTTAATCACATTACAATACCTACTTTACATTTCTTTCTTGGAAAGCTTTTTACCTCTTCAAACCAAAGAAACGATGACGATGGTATATATGCACCATTCCTAACAGATACTATCGTGGCATTAACATATCAACTGTTTTGGGTATATCCAATTTTTCTACTTAGTTTCGTGTTAAATGCTATGTGGTATCAAGAAATAGCGGATCATGCTTATCAAATACATCATGGGAATCCAGTAAATTCACAATGGACATATAATCGAGCGCTTGGACTTATAGCTGCTGAGATATATCGAGCAGTTCTATTCATGAATTATTTGTTTTTTGCTACAACAATATATATTTTACCTATCGTTGGACCTATTATTTCTTTCATATTTTTTTGCTGGATATACGCTTATTACAGTTTCGAGTAAGTTTAACAATATTTAATCAATATGATTAATATTTACTCTATTTTAAAACCTGAAAAAAAATGTTTTTCAAATCTGTATAGATACAAATGGATAAATCGAGGATGGAAGTTGGAACAACGAATTCAATATTTTGAAGAAAAGTGGGCTTACTTTGCAGGATTTGGTTTCACTTTTACAGTTTTGACTTTTTTTATTGATCAATTTTTGAGCGCTGGAGTCTTCGCGCTCTTTTTTCCACTTGTAAGTAATTTTTTTTTGCTTTTTTATTTATTTTCTTAACAATTTTCTAATTTTATATATTATATATATATATAAAAAGTACATCATTATGGCCAATAATGCGCGTCCAATGCCAAGGCAGGATGAACGAGCGCGATTTTCATCATCGATTCCATATAGGTTACCCGTGTTTTGGGTGGCAAGAAAGCTTAATGACAAATTAATAACTTGTTTTTCGTAGAAGAACTGCAAGATCGTTGTGAGAGATAAATTTAAACAGTAATAATAATATCATATCCTTTAATGAAATCTTTATTCAATTTGTATTGAAAATTAATACGTAAACTTATTAGGTAAACTAAAAGGGAAAACGAAGGTAGTTTAGAATAGTGGTAAAGAGAATCAAATAACCTATAATTTTTATCAAATTTTTCTCTTACTTGAAGTAAATATGATTCAGCAACAGTACGAGCGCGAGTATTAAGACTTAATTTCATTTCACTAATTTCTTTATCAACTTCTTCCATGAATTGAATAATGAAGTCAACTAACTTATGTTTATACATTTGTTCTGTGTGAAAATTGGTAATCAAAAAGCTAATATCATATCCCTAACAAAAATAAAAATAAAAAATAAATTTAAAATTTAAAAAATTTCCAATACATTTAATTACAACTTACAATAATTGGTTTCCTTCTAAGGATTATAAAATTTTCAGCTCTAATCATCATAAATCTAGTAAATTTGTGGCATAAAATTCTTTCAATTTCATCGGCTTGTTTAATCTTGATACTAACACGAATTGAATTAACAGAAGGTTCTATCAAAACCTTTTCATGTTTATTTCTACTAATTGTTAAAGGATTAACTACGACTTCCAATGATGATAATCTATGAAAAATCAAAAAAATTTGAATTAAAAAAAGTTACTTTTTTTTTCATTTAAAAATGATTATATTTCAAGTACCTAGCTTCAACCTCAGGGTTATTATGACGTTCTGCAACTTGAGAAGAAAAATTTTCTACACAAAGTGCAGCAGTTAAAGTGGATCTGACAGCCGCTAAATATGGACGTAAAGTATTCGACTACATAATATAAAATTCTAAAAATTAACCCTCATTTTTTTTTTAAAAAAAAAAATTAAAATATAAAAAAACAAACCATTATAAATTATTTATCATTTTGAAGTAAAAATTTTACAATATAAATATTGACCTACGCGTGTGTAACAGCGGCAGGTAATAATTCTGTGACCGAGGACCGGTTTCGGTTCCGATTTGAGGATCAAAGATCGATTTTTAGGACATAAATTTGAATAATCGAAAGATTTTTTTTATTTTTATTTTTTTTTTTTTGCGACAAAAATGTCAACGAACCTTTTTTTTCATTTATTTCAAAATGCTCGTTTAATAACATCTTTGAGGACTAGCGTGCGTCACTTTACAAAACAAGTTCGACAAATAACTAATAGTAACGTAACTACTAATTTGATAAATACAAACGGAAAGCCAAGTCCAAAGTCTCCTAAACCAAAAAAACCTTCTTCAATAGGAGTAAAAGAGCCACCTAGCATTATGCATAAAACAGAAGCGAAAACATGGTTAGAGAAGCTAAAGTTTTCCTTTAGTATAGAGTCGAACGTTAAGACAAGAAAGTATTTGTATGTAGCATGTAATAGATTCAATAATTTTTTAAAATTGGTTGCTTAATTTTATTTTATTCTAGAGTAAAGAAATATCAAACATCCTATTGGCAAGATTTTAATGAGCTAAGAATTCAAGGTGAAAAGTTATGGGAAGCTAATCAGGAAGCTATTAAAGCAGAGGTATAATATTATTTTATTTACAGCACGTTTTGTCTACGACCATTTTAAGCGACGCCATTTTACCGAATCGCATTTCGAGTGGTTTATTTCATCGACACGACACGAGGTGGTCCATTTGTTTGCTTCTAGGTTTTATTGATTGGGGCGCAATTGTCTCAAATACGTATCTTTATCGTCAAGTACATGCGCCACATAGCGTAGTGGCTTTATAAAATGGAGATTCTGTGATGAAAAGTTCGTCGCGAAAAGGTCGTCGGCAAAAATAGTTGATTATATTATATGAAACGTAATTTTTGATTTGACGCGCCTTTTTTCATTTTTTTTTTTTAAAAAAAAAAAATAGGAAGCGTTATATATACCTAATATTAATGCTCGTTCATTATTAAAATCGAATATTGACACTGTGGATTTATTAAAGGATAATACAACTTTATTTGCGGTATACTTCAATCGATTTGGAGAAAATCATGTCAAAAGTTATATCGAACCTTTTCTTGCAGAATTCTCTAATAAACCAAAAATACAACTAATGCAGGTATGTCATTTCCTTATAAAGTTATGAATGATTTTTTACTAAAACGATTATGATGATTAATATGAAAGGTAGTTGAACGTTGAGACAAATATCTTAAAATCGTTGATTCTTAAATTGTTCATTCCAAGCATTCGTAGCGCAATTCCTCAATCACTTCACGTATGTATCATATCATTTTTGATTGACACGAACACACGTATAATTATGTTATTAATCATCCTTTTTTCTTATATCAGAAAACTTATCTCTTCCACTTCCGAAATGATCAAACTTTACACGAAGCTTTGAATATACGTAATTCTTATAGAGGATATGTTTTTGTGATAGATGCAGATTGTAAAATAAGATGGTTTGCACACGGTGATGCTACCCAAAAAGAAATTGAGACAATGTTAAAGATAATCAAGAATCTTGGTAATCTTGGTGAATGAAAATAATCTGATATTTATAACATTATTCGAATATCAATGCATATTTTTCAAGTTGGATGATGAGTAGTAAACAACGAAAAATAAAAAAAGAAAAGTATAAGAAATGAAATGAGTGTTATGAATAAAATTGTATATTAAATTTATGATAGATTTTTTTTTTTTTTTTCTATATTGCAATTAAAAATTTAATAACGGTTTAATACTCCTTTGATTTTATTGTTGTTTGCATTCGTCTAGATAAAATGAAATTCAATCAATTAAATCATTTTAAAATAATCATAATTACAAGAATTTAATAGATGATATTTACCTACCTTTCCATTTTTTCCTCCGGTCTATATTTAATAAACAAAAAAGAAAGGTCAAGAAATGTTGAAGTAAATGCGCAAGAAAGTAATGAAATTTACTACTTACCATTTCATCATCGTCATCGTCATCGTTATCATCGTCATCATCATCCTCGTCATCGTCATCATCATCATCACCAACAAAGAAAGGATTCTCTTCAATCTCCTCATATTTCAAAGCTTTACCAGTATACCAATCTATAGCACGAGGAATAAGTTTTTCTTTTATATCCTCTCCAATTTGATAATCCATTTCAAGTCGCTCATCTATATTATCATCCAAATCATCATTATCTTCTTCCAGTTCAGTGGGCGGATTGAAGAATTGAAAGAATGATTCGGCAGGTACTGTGGTTTTTACTACACGAGTCTCTTTAGTACCTAAAAAGATGTAAATCGAAATTGATTTGAACAATTAAAATTAAAAGAAAAAGACAAAAAAAAAAAAAAATGTGCCTTATGAAATTACCTTTACGCTTTTGCCTTTTCGTTTCCACTGTAACCGTAAGATCCTTTCCTTCTTTCCAATTAATTGGCGTGCCTTCAGCATGATCATAAACGAAATCACCTCCATAACCTGGTTCCTCTTGATAATAATATGTCTTTGTCAAGAGGGTATTCGTAAAATATGGATTCTCTTCAAATTCAAAATCTAGTCGGAATCCAGGTTTTTCAAGATATGACATCCTTATATCGATCAAATGCTTTAATGCATCTTCATCGCGTTCAGTAATAATCTCTTCAATGGTAATTAAATTTTTCATTGAAGTAAGCCAGAACTCTGGAATGCCTTTAACAGGTCCTTCAATAATTTCTTGTACTTTATTCTCTTCGTTAACCACATTTTCCTCTTCTTTTGTTTGTTCTTCCTCATCCAGTTTGACTCCAGCCTGAACTTCCTCTACAGTTGGTTCGCGCTCCCCACGAACGATCTTGGAACGTGTTTCATACAAAGGTCTGTATAGTTCTAAATATTTTTTTTCTAATGCCAAGATCTCTTCTTGAAATTTTGCTTCCAACTTCGCATGTTCAGCTTGATAATATTTTAAACTATTGATTCGAGCTTTTACGTCTTCCGGTAAGTTTTCAATATAACCCGAAGACTTTCCTATTAACTGTCCAAGTTTTCCTTGTAAAAGAGAAACCAACTGAGGATTAGGCTGATCCATTTTTTTTTAGGTAGCTAGAAATTTTAATTTTTTTTTTTTTTTTTTTTTTTTTTTGTATTAGAAGGATAACATTTAAATGCATGCGTCTTCATTGCTTAAAATAGAAATTGTAATAAAAAAAAATAATAATACTGCGCCACGTTTATTAATCATAATTTAAAAAGCCTAACGAATCATAATTATTTTTAATTTTATTTAATGTATTATTTTCTGTGATTTTTTTTTAAATATCGATTTTTCTCTGAGGGTTCATAAACTTCTGCAAGATTTCATCCGTTATTTGTGATTTATTCTTTTTTTTTTTTAATAAAAAAAAAAATAATAATAATAAATAAATACATAATAAAAATTTAAATTTTCTATTAAATACATAGATAGATATACACAATAAGTCAATCATAAATTTGCTAACCTTTTGAAAGTCACCAACGAATTTCTGTAATACGTCAATGCAACGCGCTTTAATTTCACCAGTCAGCATTTCACCGGATTTATATTTCTGCAAACAATTAAAAAAAAATCAATCATTGATTATGCAATTTATAAACAGTATAAGAACTTTAGAAAACATGTAACCTCATAAATTGAAGCCAATTCTTCATCATCGTCCAAAAATACTGATAAATACTGATAAGGAACATCAACGTCCGGGTTACCTCCATTCTCCCGATGAAGTTCAGCAGTAACACCACCACCTGAAAATGCATACTTGTTAATCTAAGTTATTCATAATACATTATAGTTAGCTAGATTATTTGTGATTTATAGATATGAATCAATTCTCCAATTATAAAAACAAGCCTTTTTTTTGATTTGATTGGGAGTATCCGACATAAAAATTGCAGAATTATCCACAGAGGCGCTCATTTTTGTTTGGGAACCCTAAATTTGAAAATATTATAAGCAAAACTTGTATTAAATGTTGGATCTAAAATTATTAAACTTACTTGTAGCGACGGGAAGAATTTAGCATGAAGAAGACTAGGTTTAGGATATTTCAACTTATGTGCGACATCACGCGTTAACCGAAAATATGGATCCTAAAATTAATCGTAAGCAATTTATTAAAAGAATTTTAATTCGTATCAGAAAATATTTTATCTAAATACTTGATCTATAGCACAAGGAATCACACAAGGAATATCATGTCGAGTTCCAAATATTTGAGGAAAACTATTGGAAAACGAAGGTGCCGATTGTATGGCAACAAAATGATTCTTGCCGATACAATCACTATTATATTATTGATGTAAAAAAATTTATAAATTAATAATAGATAATTGTGTATCAATGTCAAGCAAGAATTATTATTATTATTATTATTATTATTATTTAAAATAAAAGCACACCTATCATTGAAACCAAAAGTCGCCTTTGACTGATTATACGTGATACATTTCGCGATCTTTACAATATTATGATAGAATGGACCTCTATTTATATTAGAAGTAAATAGATAGTAAGTGAAAAAAAAACGAACAAATCAATTTAATTCAAAATCAATAAAAATGCTTACAAACCCAACATAATCAGTATTTGAGAAAATAAATGTCTTATCTAAATCAAAACCACATGCAATAATATCTTTGGCATTTTCACGTGCGAACTGACGCGCATCCTCAAATTTTAATTCAGGTTTGAAAATAAATTTTTCGTCATCTAAATATAGATATTTTAATTACGCGTATGAATGAATAATCTATAATAACAAGAATCACATCAATTACGAGACAAAACTAACCGGTTAATTGAATGACAATTGGTACATTGAAAGCTTCTTGCAACCATCTAATATAAAGAAGGACTCCCTAATTCAGAATAATATCTTTTAGATAAAAAAAGGGGGGGGGGTTTCTTAATTCTTACTTGCAAAATACAAATGGAACCATATGACCGAGATGCATACTCGAACTACTCGGACCGCGTCCTGTATAAATGAAAAAAGGTTTTCCCTGCTCATAACGGTCCAAAATTCTCGAAAATTCTCTGCGAATTCAAATAATTCCGGACAAAATTATAAAAATATATTGATATTACACGCTTTACTGCAGACATATATTACCTATGTGAGAAGAAAATTCCTCTTCTTAAGAGTGTGTGAGGCTCTTTTCCAGTTAATTTTTGGAACCTTTGTAAAAGTGCGTTGTCAATAAGCTGTGTTCCAAATTTTTCTATTAGCTTATTATAATCAATTGCTTGAACTTGGCCATTAATAACAGCTCCTTCCACTTCCCAAGGGGTAATTTTTTGTTCACGGGTATCTGAGTCGTTTCTATTATAACAATACATTTGCCTAAGTTAATTATAAATATATTTTCAAATAGATTTCACTTAATTTATACCTAGGACTGTCTTGCTGTTTATTGACCAAAGTAAATAATTAAAATAGTTAAATTTCAAATTTCAAATTCTCAGGCAATTACATTCGACAATTATACCTCGTTAGTTGTTTCCGACTTAACATACGAGTACAGCAGAAAACAACAAACGCCAAGCCTGCAAACCAAATCAATTTTCGTCTTAGAGTCAGACATATCGCCGTAGTATTGAAAAATTAAAAATATATCATTTTTTATTATTAAAAAGATCGAAAAAAAAAATTTTTATTTTGTTAATCAATCAACAACCCAGTACTAGGTTAGTGGGTCAAGCTTTATTAATGATACTATCTTTTTTGTATCATTCTAAAACATCGTTTGATTGAAATGAAGTAATAAGCCCAAATTCCTATTTTTTATTTATTTCTATTAAACTCTTTCAATTCTTGCTATTTTTTTATATCACCTAATTTTATTTTTAATTTTTCAAAAAAAAAAAATCTTTATTTTATAGTCAATTCTCTCTAAATGCATCCCCTTTGGAATCATAGTAAAAATTGCATTTAAAGAGGATATGCATTTAAAAAGAAAATTTCTATATGATTTTTATATGCTTGGAACTAAAATAAGAGCATGCATATGCATTTAGAGAGGATGCATCTAGAGAGTATATAATCAAAGAATATTAAAAATAAAAAGCTTTTTTTCTATATTATTAGGATCTAAAGTAAGAATTCAAAAATTAAAGTTAAAACATATTATTATTACTCTTTTTAGTGATCAAAAACTTTTTAATTATTATTATTAAAATTATTTAGAAAATGTATTAAAAATTTTAAATCCATCTATATTTTATTAATAGTTACAGAATATATCTTTTCTAATAATAACTATTAATTTTGTATAACTTAAAATATTTATAATTTTATTGAAAAAAATACTTTAATTAGCTTAAAACAACAAATATTTATTTTATTTTTGTATTTTTTAAAAATTTGAAACTGAAAAATATTATTTAAAATTTTACATGCTAGTGTAAAAAAAAAATATTGATAATAATTTAAACTGAAGTTTTTTGTAATTTAAAAGTGTACTAAAACAATTTTATTAAGAATACTTATATAGAGATTGTTATTTAACATATAGTCTACTAATCTGTGATCACA